TTAAAGTTGCTTATTTTATTATTATTTCATTAAATAAGCAACTGACATGTCACTATTAAAAGATATGATTGGTTGTCAGTGTAAAAAAAATTTTACACTGTCTGTGTATAGGTAATTAACTCTTTTTTTAAAAAATGATTTGCTTTGAACTTTTTTTTTTTTTTTCTCAAAACGATTATTTTTTTTTCCAACTTCGTAAACATTGGTTCTTTTTCACACTCATTTTAGTCGCATATGCTTTTGATTTATTTTGAAAAAAATAAATTGAACAACTTTTTGAAAATAATTTAGTTCAAACCGTAATCGGTTTGATTTTTTCCCGAAGTGGCTCAGTTTTTGTATTCGGTTTTTTATTTTCAAACCCCTAGCCAACATTATTAAACAATTAGCCTATTTTTCTTCAAAAAAGTGTCATCATCAGTACCACTTTATTTAATATTCCTACAAGTTTACTTTATGCCGTTATTCTTTTAGGTTCGTTTAACCTAATTTTACCGTACTAAAAAATTCGTTTCTGGTGCCAATCACATTCCAAACTCAAACTCGGTTCAAGATTCCAAAAACGAGGCCCACAGCCCAGCCCAGCCCACGATTCCTGGCACCCAAGATGTTCTTCTTTTGATAAAGCAATCTTCAATTTGATTGTGAAATTTGAAAAAATGTACCAAATTAGTCACAGCTAACTAACAAAACTTGCAAACACTAAACAAGAATCATTAACATTAATATACATAAACTAAGTGTGTATTTGGTTTATAGTTTCATGCAACCGAATCCACTTTTAATTCAATCTAACACTCTTGTCACTTCTCTGCTTGAGTATTGGAATGTACAAAACTTCAATTCATCATAACTCAAATGTATTTTCAAACACACCCCAAGAATATCTTTAACAGCCCTCTTCTTCAGGTAGGTAGTATAAATAATTAAATACAAAATGTTTAAAGAAGAATCTAGGTATAAAGAATAATAGTTATTCATACTTCATTTCGTAATTATTTTACTAGTTGACAAATATGGCCAATAGATTGGTGCACTCTGGTGGCGGGTACTGTTAGTATCATGATTAAGTAATGGAAATTTAGGGGTTAATTGACATCTAGAAAGCATAATAATATATAATGTAACAAGTAACAAGAGAAAAATAAAAGCAATTGGCACAAGACAGAACAAGTGAGGAGGAGCAAGAGCATGCCCGTAGAAGCAATTGAAACCGCGTCATATTCCCATGTCTTTCAGTGTCATAAGTTCCCTTCCACTTTATTCTTCTCTTCATTCGAATATGTTCTTCACTTTCCACGTTTCAACGCCCTCCACTCCTTCCTTAAGCTCTTCTACAAATAAAGACCAAGGGTCTTCTTTTGTTATTTGACTTAAAGCTACTTCTCTCTTTATTGTTTTCAACATGATCGTTGCGAAAATATAGGATAGACAAGCCCCTACTCATAACATCATACTGCTGTTATTATCTTGGCTACCTCTTTTCCTTTCACTTTATTGTTTCTTATCTTGACTTTTGAAACTCGAGACTTGGAATGGAACGTGCGGTTCTTGATGGTATCATCAATAAGTTGCTGGAAGTGAGAGGCAGACCCGGGAAGCAGGTGCAGCTTTCTGAGACAGAGATCAAGCAGCTTTGTCTCGTGTCAAGGGATATCTTCTTGAGGCAGCCAAACCTCTTGGAACTCGAGGCACCAGTTAAGATTTGTGGTATTGTTTTTGCTTCCCCCCTCAACCTCGTTTGGTATTTATTCGAATAAATATTAATAAACTTGATTATGAGCTCTAGAATTATGAGGTTTTTTTTATTAGTTTCTTTAAATTGCATTATAATTTTATCATATTGAAGTAAAAGTGACCTTCCCCTTGAAAGAGAATAACTCCGGTTAAATTCTGTTTCTAGCAATGTTAATTTTTCTTTTTCTGTTTTCATGATTGTTTCATAGAAGTAAGCTCAATTCAACTTGAGGTTTTCTCACAACCTAGTATATGAATTATAGCATAAATAAGAATCTTGTAATAAATTGTGTTTATACAAGATTATGATTCACTCATTCCAAATCAATAAATTGTTCATCTGAATGTTTCCTTGCAGTTTCAACTGGAAAACTAGTATGATATACATGATATGTACTTTATGTATATTTTTGGCAAGTGTTAATTGTCATCTTAAGTGCTGCTAGTTATATTCATAGAAATCTATTGGACCTATAATCTTCTTGATAAGACAATTCAAGTTGTAGACCAGAAAGAAGCTCTATTTTATCAATATGTTACAATTACAACGATACACTGGTATGGTGATTTGTAAGATACATAAACCTATTGCAGGGACATGAGTTTTCTACTTGCACTTGAGTCATTCTTGCTCTGCTTCCCATTTTCATTTTTTGTCTTAATTCTTTCTTTAGTATATTGTGGGGGAACGTTATCTGTATTTTTAATGATAAATTTCTTAACGCTACACATATATATGAATATTTCCTAACAGTTCATCTCACCTCCTTAACCACGCGAGCTAACTCTTCATCCTTTCTTAGACTTCCTCACATATAGCTAACTGATAGGAGGTATATCAAATTCAGACCAAAATCCTCTGTATTTTAGCAAAATTAAAATATTCATTCTCCTACAACAACCAACCAAGCCTTATCCAATTAATCGGGGTTGGATTGGACAAGCATCAAACAATGTCACAAGGCTTTCTAAAACCAAATTTTCAGTAAATTCATTTATTGCAAGGTCTTTTTTAACTGTTCCTCCTAATGTTTTCTGCAGTATGATTTAATAACTATTTACTACCATGGTGGCTATTATAATGTATGTGTGTATTCTTAGTTGTTGTGTTTGTGAAATATGAAGAAATATAGCCCATTTTTACTCCAAGGGCAGTTCAATCTGTTTAGCAGAATTATATAACTGAATATCTAAATTCCTATGTTGACTAATAGGCATTGCTTAAAGTTATTTCTATTTTTATTTTGTAATTAGTATTTTTGTTGCCAATCTTCTTTTTAAATGATTTTACATCTAGGTGGATATCATATTCGACAATAAGATTTGGAGTTTGCTCTATAAAATTGTAGGCAATCATCATGCATTACTTTATTTTTTTGTCCAAATTGAAATTTATATTTTGCAATTTAAGATTGGAACTAATATTTTGCTTCATTTCTCTATGTTACCAGGAGATGTCCATGGCCAATATTCTGACCTTCTGCGGCTTTTCGAGTATGGTGGATTTCCTCCTCGTTCTAATTACTTATTTTTAGGGGACTATGTTGATCGTGGGAAGCAAAGTTTGGAGACAATATGTCTCCTTCTGGCCTATAAGATAAAATATCCTAACAACTTTTTCCTTCTGAGGGGCAACCATGAGTGTGCTTCTATAAACCGTATATATGGATTTTATGATGAGTGTAAACGAAGATACAATGTGAAGCTTTGGAAAGGGTTCACAGATTGCTTCAACTGCTTGCCAGTGGCAGCTCTAATTGATGAAAAGATATTGTGCATGCATGGTGGACTCTCTCCTGAGTTACACAATTTAAATCAGATAAAGAGTTTGCCACGTCCTGTTGAAGTACCTGAAGCTGGTCTAATATGTGACCTCCTTTGGTCTGATCCTAGTAGTGACATTCGGGGTTGGGGAGAAAACGAACGTGGAGTTTCATGCACTTTTGGTGTTGACAAGGTCACAGAATTCCTTCAGAAGCATGATCTTGATTTGATTTGCAGGGCCCACCAGGTTTCATATTCCTTTTAAATTTGTGACTGTAATAGCTAGGAATGTAGGAATCCAAATGTACTATATGCTGATTATATTATATTCCTTGTTACAGGTTGTGGAAGACGGTTATGAATTCTTTGCTAATAGACAACTTGTGACCATCTTTTCTGCACCTAATTATTGTGGGGAGTTTGACAATGCTGGTGCTATGATGACTGTTGATGAGACCCTTGTGTGCTCTTTTCAAATACTGAAGCCTCTAGATAAAAAGCCCAAGTTTACCTTTGGGAGCACAACTACAGTTAAGAATAATAATGCAACAAAAACCAAGGTATTTCCTTGAATCCATTCCAGGGTTGCAACTATTCAACAAAAATGTTAAAAAATAATGTAGCAGAAAATGATAAAATCATTTTTTTCCTGTTAATGATAATGGGACTGATATGTACTGAAAACCTTAAGGAAATAGTTGAAATAGGCTCTTAAATATATCAAGTGCAAGTTTAAAACGGGATTCTTATTAAGTTGGCATAATAATAATAATAATAAAGTTTTCTTGTGAGTTGTAGCGGGTAATCATAGGTTCTAGCAGTGGAAATAACCTTTCTGCTCGCTTAGATAAGGTTGTGTTGTGTCCATCTATTTAAAATCTATCTAGAATTTATTATGTTAACTGCTAAAATTATGAAGGTTTTCTATTTTATTCTTACTTGTGTGTTGTGTCCTTCTCCCTTAAACATTGCACCATATGTTGTGAGATGTTTACAATCTTCCTTTGTTTCTCCCCAGTTCCAGCAAGCATTTTTTGGTGCTAAAGCATAACCTGATGAACGTGACTACAATCAGTAAATGTTTGGTACATAGCCAAAGTTAAATTTAAAGAGTGTTATCCGAACTCATTTCAATGTGAAGGAAGAATACAATTATCGATATAACCCAAGAGCTATGAATAAAACTAAATATTGTCTCCGCTTTACCCTTCAGGGTATAGCTGAATGCTTCTTTCTTCTGATGGCTGTACAATATTTTTGTTAAACTCAAATGGAGGACTGAGGTGTTACTTTTCTTCTCCTTGAGTTCTCCTTTGCCGATCTCACTTTGTATTATAGTGAATTAATGCAATATACCTTTGAATGTCATTTGGAAGTTATTTCACCATTAATATTGTGAACGGTGGCGCATGGTTGGTTAGAATATATGTTCTACATCTCTTGCATATTCCCCACTCTCCTCGATCAAAATTGGGCCTTAATAGACAAATAGCTCTTCCTTTTCGTTACTCTCTAGTTCACACAACTTCAACCTTCTCAATCACACTATTATAGATTCCACTCATAAATTTTAAGTTGTTTTATATATCAGTTAAGGTGGGCAATTTTTATATTATAAATTATTTTTAAAATTTTATTTAAAATTATTGGAGCAATTTATAACTATACATTTATAGCTGCCCCACACTTTCAAAGGTGGATCCTTCCTTGATAAATTCTAACGTATAGTATACGCTACAGAATTTTGTTTGCTTATCTGTATTTGTCTTCAATGTGTATATTGAGGGTAAAAAGGGAAGCATGGAAATCAAAATGATTTTCATATGTCATTAAGCCGCAAAGTCTCCAAAAGATTAGCGTGTTTGTATCGTTATTCTCCAATTGTTAGAAACAATCAATGTAAAAATTCTAAATTTTAAATTCTAAATCCTAATATCAATCGAATCTATTTCATTGTTCATGTAATTAGTGCTAAGAAATATGGTCCTCGTTAAATTCTAAAATCATCATGCAAATGTTAATCGATCTTTTTCTTTTAATATAAATGCACTAATTTAGACTAATAAACTAGACTAATCAAACTTTGAGAGATTGACCAGTCCAACCTCAATAGTTAGCATGACCAAAATAATTTAGAACTAAACAGGTCGACATAAGCAAGAATATAAATGTTACAATGCACAAAAAAATAAGTGTATGATAGAAATTAATTGAATTGAAAAGAGTAGTTGAACAGCTACTGAGAACCAAATTATGTATATTAATAAAATATGATAAATGAGATAATTTATATTAACTTAATGGTTGAAATCCTTTTTGTAGGTATTCCTCCCTCTATCTTAGAAGAAGTAAAGATTGGGGAGGAGATTAGACGTGAAAACTCTACTTAAAGAGATAAGAAATTTTGATATCTACTTTTATCATATTCTACTAAGAACAATAAATTAACTTATTATATATTAACTTTCTTGATTAGTTCATGACTTATTAATGTTTAAATAGACATCTCTAAATTAATAGTTTAATAAAAAAGGATTAAATTTAATATATGAAAAATAAAATAGAATTAAATTTAATAAAAAAGAATTATATATATAAAATCATATATATATGTGTATATATATATATATATATATATATATATTTATGTATGTGTATGAATGATGATGGTTAAAGATTAGTTATTAATTACATGATGATTATTTAAAAAAATTCATTTATTTTTAAAATTTAATCGTTTAAATATAATTTAATAATTTATATTTATAGTTATTACTTCTTATAATAATAAGTGTTCTCAATTAATATGTTATATACAAGGAGGATTAAATTAAATCACTATAAATTACACTAATTATTATATCATCAATAGCTTTATTACATATAACGTATTTTATATTAATTTAATAATTAAATTATAACTATACATGCTACCTTCATTGTTTGTATTAAATTTTCTTGAAAAAACAGGCACATATACGATCAAAGAGTTTTTGTTTTTATACATTTTAAAAACATATATTACATTAATTTTAATGTTTGTTAGTAAGAAATTTCATATCAATATAAGATTTTGTAAATATGATTTATGTGGGAAAAACATCGAATCTATCAACAAAATAATCTCATAATATAATAGTTAATATAATTTATAATGGTGTAGCTTGATAGTGATTTGGATGGATAAAAAAGAATATGGAATAAGGATATATTATATATTTAATATTTTGATTAAATAAATGAAATCCGAAGAGGAGATTGAAAGGCCTAAGAAAACGTTGGTATTAAAAGAATAAACATGTTAGTCAAACAGTAATTAGGATAGAATAACGCGGTTAGAAGGGTGAGGACAAATAGAAAAGCAGTGTAAAATTGCGGTATGAGTTCGTAGCATTTAATGGTGATGAAGCGAAAGCGCGTGGAAGGATGGATGTTACTTGAAGGCCAATTGGAAAGCAAGCGCATGTAGAAAGAAGAATCATTGGCCAAATGACAAAAATTGGTGACTTGGATTTTTGGTTATTTGCTTTTGGTCTTTGGTCAGGTCACTTTGACAATTGCCATTCGGCTCTTGTCTCCTACTCACACCTCGTTTGGAGCCATTGGAAATTTGGAATTCATTCATTTTTCTACCCTAAATATTGTCCCCTTATCACCTCACAGTAAAGGGTTTCTTTTCTTCTTAACCATGAGTTTCGTAGCCCTTAATTAACCAAGCAAACACAAAAGAAATACTAGTAACTTTCAAAATTACCATCCTTCGCTAATGTTACAGGGAGGAAATAATGTAAAAGGTGCCGAAAAATTCAATGAAAGTTGCATAAGGGTAAAGCTTGCAGAAAAGCCTTTGACAACACTGCTCGACCACAACTAGAAGGATTCTATCATGCTAATCAATTATACTCTCTCTTTTCTTTTAATTAATTAGAACATGATTTTTAATATTATTATAAAAATTCATTCTAATATATTGAATGTTCATTTTAATTGATTAAAAATTTCACCTTCATATACATTTTAATTGATTACTTATACATTTTAATCATTTGAAATTATTAAATTATCAATTTAACCATTTTCTTGCTCTTAGTCCACCTTTGAAATACATCATTGATGGTGAATTATGTTTTAAGGACAAAAATAAATTTATTTCTAACATTGTATCAAGGTTGAATTGAGTGAATTGTGAGAGTCTCTAGTCAGAAACTGAGTTGATCTTGAGAGAAAAATGTATATAAGGTTTCTAATGAGAACTGAGTCTCAAACATTTTTCTCTGGGTGCTAGAGAAAATACTCTAAATCTAAAAAATTTCTTATTCTCCCTAAACCTTCTCTTGATCGAATGATTATTTTCCTATAATTCATAATCCTTACTTGTATGTCTTGATTCAGGTACTTAAAGCTTGAATCTAGTTTAGAGTCCTAAGGAGTTCTTCAAAGAACTCTAGTTCCTTCTTTTCTTCCTCTTCCTCTTCCTCATTTCTTCGTTTTGGAGGCTAGGAATTGAGGTAGGAGAAGTTAGGATGAATGATTGATTGATTGATTGGTTGTGTTGCATATGAGTAAGATTCTCAATTGTTGCATGAATTAGATGATTTTCGGATTTTGAAGGTTGTGTTGGTGGAGGTTTTGGTGAAGGTTAGGAAGATGATGCATCATTGATGATTTTAATCTCATTTGGAATTGCATGCGTTGTTTCTTAGTGAATTTTGAATTATAAGAGGTGTATGCATATTTTGGGTTGCCACGTGTGTGTTGGATTTTCTGTATTTCAGATGGATGGAGGAGATTTTCAAAGCTTGCATTTGCATATTTTTAGTGTCATGTCAGGCGCGCCTTCTTGGTATTGGGTGCAATTCCAACCAGGGGTGTTTGACTCGTTCACGTCGAGCGTAGGATCAGTGACACCAAACATGAGGAGAGAAACCAGTCTCAAATTGGGATGGCATCAAGCTTGGTTTGAAAGACGTCAGGCGTGAAAGTATGGGAAAGTCTCTAACTTGGTAATGTTGGGTCCTAGTTAGGTGGCATCATGCATGATCAAGACAAAGGCTCCTTATTTGGATGACATCGAGCACCATTAAGGTGACATTAGGCAAGTGTCAAGTAGAGGTATTTTGCGTAATATGAGGCCAGGCGTGGGTTTTACCACCCTAGGTGTGAGGTCCCATGGGGGTTTCCACTTCTGTCATGTCGAGCATAGTTTGGATGGCACTAGGTGTGAGTGGGACAAAGAGCTCCCAACCTCAATGACACCGAGCGCGAGGTATGTTGCATCATACGTAGATGTATGAGTTTTATTGCATGTCAAATGAAGTATGAAAATTGTAGTTTTATGTATGTTGATTAGAATGAAGTATGAAAAATGTAGTTTTATATGGTATTGAATGATGATGAACATATGTATAATATTGTTTATCTCAATATGCATTGATCAGATGTGATGTCTATAGCTGATGTATGCTAAGAATACGGTATGACATTAAGACATGATTGGCTAACTTAGGTTTTGAGGTGTGTTGAGTCTCCTTTAGGTCATTAGTTAATGGTTGAGTAAGGTAGGAGGTCAAGGGTTACAACTCTTAACCAAGTACCTAGAAAGGTTGCATGGTTTCTTGTGGATGACTACTATAAGCTAACTCTACATGTGACTTAATAATGCATTTCAAGGTTGTGGTATGCCTATACTTAACTATACCACTCCTAACAATACTACTTGATGTAATTTGTATAAGCGTGTTTAACTAACACTAAGTTATATAGTTATATGGGGATTATTGTATATACATGTATATGATTTATATTAGTACAATAATTGCACTTTATATTCATATTATGTGTATGTCCATATATCTATTAGTTAAACTTTTATAATTCTAGTAGACTAGTTTTCGTTACTAGTAGTGATCCACATAGAGTAGTAACCATGGAGTCATTACAATATTATAATTTCTTTTTTCTCTTTCTACTCTTCATAATATTTTTTCTCTTATTTTTTTCCCCCAAATTATACTTTTAATCCCTCTATTTATTTTTAAGATTTCATTTGGTCTTTTATTTTTTTTTAAATATTCAATGGTATCCTTTTGTTCAAATTAATATTAACAACATTAATGAAATCCGATAAAAGGACAACATTAAATATCGTTTAAAAATTAGATAATTAAATTAAATAATTTAAAATATTCAATTTGATATCACTATTTTTAAAATGTTCAATTTAATCCTCTAATTTAAAAAAAATGTTCAATGTTATCATTTTACCTATTTTTTTATTATCATTGTTAGTGTTAATTTGGAAGGATAATATTGGACATTTTAAAAAAATTAAAGAATCAAATTGAACCTTTTAAAAATATTGACACTAAATTAAATATAATTTAACCTTTTTTCTTATACCAAACAACTCAAAATTTCAATTTATTTCTTATTTAAATTTTATTATAAAGATCATTTCGACTTTCAAACTCTCAAGTTGATATAATTGCTTCGGCCAAACAACATTGACTTCGGATCAATTGTTATAAAGATTTTCTTAGCTTTCCACACAAATCCAACACTTAGCTCGTAATATCAGATGACCAATATAACCATAAGTCCTGTAAATTTAAAACACTCGACACTTTTTCATACCAAATTAAGAACGAGACTCCCACACTATGGTATGCATCTATTTCTAATTCTAACTCTATCTCCTACACTCACTTTAATCCGACTGCTTCCAACTTGCAACTGATATCACCAAATATCGTAGAGACTCGGGAAGACACCATCATCACAATTTGGATTAGCCAAAAAAAAGTTCTTTTTCCTTATCTCGTAACATATTTTAAACAAACATTTCAATTAGAAATAAATAAAATAATAATAATTTCTTTAAAATATTATAAATTAAAAATTATTTAAAATAAATTCAGTTAAACTCGTGCTCAGTTATCAGAATCACGATTCAATACAAAATTACTGTTCAAAAATCAAATAATTATATATAAAATAATAATAAACAAATTAGTATAAAATTAATAATTTTACAATATTATATATTAATAATATTAACACCAAAATAAATAAATTAAAAACTATAATTAGCAATATTATCATATAAAAAACTTATGAGTATAATAAAAAAATTATAAAGATATTTCACTTAAATTTAAAATAGTTTATAAATTATGAAATTTTTTAAAATATTTATAATATTACAAAAATAGAAATATGTTTATCAGTGCGATTACAAAGTCTAGTTATTATAATATAAGTTAATAGAAAAAATTATTGTTAGTGTCTTGTTATTTGTTAATTTCTTCTTGTCGATTATTTATTAACGAATTCTTTTATGTTTAAACTATTTGAAGGAAAAAACCGTGTCAGAATATTTAAAAATTATGGTCAAAGTATTATGTTAATGAGCGTCTCCTTAATTTAGAAATTCATACTAGTATATTGTTTAGGATAATGAAATTGTGGAAGGTGGTTAGAAGGGAATAAATGGTGTTCTGAATAGTGATTATGAATCTGGAAATTGGAAATTAGAAGGGATAAGAATAAGATGGAGTTGACTTGTTATCCTTGGGAATAGATTATTAATTTTAATTATATATTCCACAATGAACAACCAAATGTGTAGGCGGAAAGCAAGGTCATTACTCAATAATTGCAAGTTGCAACCACTCTCACTTTAAACAAACACCCTTTCAGACGTATTAATTTGTACAAAGTCTTCCATGGTTGCACCACTCTCATTTTTGCTCCCATCGTGCATGGCTTCAATTTTATCATTTCAGGGCAAATATAGAGGGGAAACGGGTAAGTTATTGCATGCATCAATATCACAAACCAAGTCAAAAATACTCCAACATCCCTTGCCTTAGCCCTTAAACATGTAAACCAAACATTTATCAATAATTTATAATTTAGATATATGTGATAATTAAGCAGTTTATATTATTCTAATATTTTTAATTAACATCATACTTCAACATATTTTAACCATTACCTTAATCAACGTAATGAAAATATAACATTTACTTAACTTCATATTATTTTAAACTTGATAGGAAGTATTTTCATATATAGTGGTAAAATACATAATATTAAAAAATTATAATAATAGAAACTAAAAAAAACAGTTTTCTCTTTTCTTTTATATAAAAAAAACCCTCTTATCTGCCTTAAAAAAATTACTTTTTAAAAAATGATTTTTTTTGGGATTTTTTTTTTAATTTTAAATAAACTGACCCTTAATTCGATTAAATTAAATTATTAACTAGTCAAACTAACATATAAATTGTTCAAATATTTTATCGAATTGATTTGCTCTATGTGTTAATGTTACTCCGTCCCATCTTTTATATAAAAAAAAATAAATATATATATTTTTTAATTATAAGAAATAAATAACTACTTTAAGATGTATTAATATTTATTTTTCTTTTATATCCTCATACAAATTGATGTATTTAGCCATCTAAACAATACTAGTTACACCTATGTGTAAAAATAGATATCTCTTAAAGTAGGTATAATCACTAAAAAAAATGTTACATGAAGTGACATGCAAAAAATATCAGTATAGATATAATATATATAGTTATACATAATTTTAATATCAATTTTGAATGAGATTCAACATATATTAATATATATATATATATATATATATATATATATATTTGTGTAATTATAACCTATATCAATATTTTTTGACAATATGTCAACATATATTTTTATGTATAGTGTAGATAAAAATAATTTTTAATGATAAATATTGTATCATTATAGCGTGAATATCACTACATGTCAATTTTTTTGATAAGTGTCATTTAATGTAATTACTATTTAAACTAATCAATTCAAAAACTATTTTTTTAATAAAATTTATTTCTGACTCTGTTAATGAAAGTTAACTATTTTAACTACTTTTATTAATTTTGATTAATTAATTAATTATCTTATATAAAAGACGAGAAGGATATTACACATGCCCATGAAAGTATCATACTTAGCAAGTTTCGGGCTATTATGACCTTGAATGAAATGGTAAATAACTGAAAATTTTTATTGCCTGTAGATGATAAGAAATTAAAAATAAAAAATATTATAGAAAGATACAAAATAATTTAACACTTGTTTAAAAATAATTTTAAAAATCTAGCTAGTTATGTATTATTTTATAAAGCACTTGTTAGAACCTTCCTATTGATAGTATATATCAATAAACACACAAAGTACACCTCTTAAAAATTTACTCATTAAATGACTAGGTTTCCCCACTTCCTCGTTGGTACCGCAATAAAGACATACACCTAATCCTCCGGTTGGAACATTAATAATAGTAGTAGACTACAAGTAGACCTAAATGTGTGACCCTCTACAGTAAAAAAAAATAAACAAACAAACAAACTATAGGCATAAAGTTCAATCTTCTACTATATATTTTTTAATTTTATTTTTTTTTATCAATATTTGATTACATAAAAGCATATATTAATCTTGTAAAAAAGTATGTATTAATAGTTGAGATTCATGCCGTGAAAAAATTCAACAGTTGAAGATTCTAAAATCTACTGGTGTGATTGATTGATTGCCTTGCATACAATACTTCCCGTTTTGATCGGAAAGAGAGAGGATAGAGTAGAAATAAAATTATTAATTTTTTATTATTTATTTAAGGGAAACAATAATAAAGAGATTTTTTGGTTTTGCATATTTTTTAAGTTAATATGGAATAGGGGGGAAATAAAAATTAAATAATTTTACAAAATCAATAATTTATGATAAGAAGAAAGAATATAGTAAAGATTTAAGTTAAATTAGTATAAAAAAAACTTTTTTTATATAATTTACTTATCAATTTCTACCATATATTTTTAATACAGTTTTCTTTTATTTCTATCGCTACTAATTTTTTCCCTCTTTAATATACTTCTAATTCAAGCAGAATATTATTATTTATAAATAATTTTTAATTATTTTTTAGATGTAATTTAAAGTTATAGTATATAAATTAGAGATATAATTAATATTAAATTTATAAAAAATTTAATCTATTTTATATCTTATGTCATACTTTATCAACATAATCATGCTATGGAGAAGACTATGTTAGAGTTTAAGTATGAGCTAAGTCTCGTATCGATTAGAGTTGGATATATTGAATAGTATGTAAGCGAGAAAAATCTACTTACTTAATGTATTAAGATTTTAGGTTATGTTATAGACATATGATTTAACAAAGTGAATGATGATCGACTCAAATGTCTATTGACCAATAAAATTGACATTGGATAGATCCTGAATGGAATTGGCAGAAGATTTAAAAGTGAGATCATCCCTTATATTGAAAGTCTCTCTAGAGGTGTGGAGGATATGTGGTGATCAGCTCAGACGTTTATTGACCAATACTATCCTAAATAGAATTGACAAGACATCTAAGAGTGGAATTATCTCTTATATTAAAAGTCTTTAGAGGCATAGAGAACAAGTGTCGGTAAAATGCAACGATAGTGCAAATAAGGTCCATATTATTTTCCAGAAGAAATTCATATTTGAGAGAGAGCATTAGAGACTCACTTGTATAACTTACTACTCATCATATAAAGTGCTTCTTGGTATAAAAACTCCATGAGAGACTATTTATTGGAACATCTTTGGTAAAGAAAAAAAAATTGTTTTAATTTTACTAAAATTACCAAATTAAAAACAGCGGTGCTTAAATAATAGCACACTCTT